AGATTCGCGATGAAAAAGCAAACCATTTCTGATCAAGTTAAAGGCACGAGTCGGGATTGAATCGATGGTTTATTTTGTCGTACATCAGGCAAGGTGTGCAACGAGGAACATTAGTAAGGAGAAAAAGCGAGAAACACCATAGAAAACTCTAAATTTCCCTTAGGAGGCCGGCCGTAGTACGACGGAGAGACACAGCGCTGCGAGGAGAGGGAGAACGCGAGATAGTACGTCATACGCGAGAGACGCAGAGACCACGTATGCCGTGGTGGATTACGCTGGCAGCGCGGGCAGCGCGGCGGGCAAGGCCTTAGCGCCATTGCCGCGCACTTTTGGGTCGCGATAGTGTCGCGCCCTCAGTGCTTGGGGAGCCCACTATCGCACCCTGGGAAGAACTTCTGCTGGTTGCCTAATCCTGACTCGTGGCTTTAAACTTCGCCGAGGATTTCGCAGCGCACGCTTGACCCTGCTCAGAGCTATGATGGCGCTGAACTTCCTTGAAGGGACCGAAAGCATGGCACATCCCAAAGGGATTGTGCGACATTTTACACCTGTCGTTTTCTGTTCGTGAGACCTAGCTATAAATGGCTGTGGTTTACGGCGTCTTGGACAGTTTCGCATATGCACGAGTGAATTTGACCTCCATATCCTCCATCAAATTCCATCGCCGCTACTGAGAAGGCGGGCATGCCTATAGATATACGTCTACGCGAGTAAATTAGCCATAGCTAATTTTTTGCCTTTTATGAGCCTGGATTTTCGTTTTTTGCCGTTTTTCAAAATAATTGTTCCACGTATATGTGACGCTCTTCTAAGATGTTCACGGGAACCATATCTCATAGCAGTCCGTTGCACTTGCCATGAACAGAAAAATCCTCATTTCCGCTTTTGAAGGGGTGAAATGCAATGTCAGAGTTTTCTAGCCACACGCTTACGTTGCTGCCACTGCATGCTGTCCAAGCTGTGCACATACTCGAGAGTTGTTGACAAAAAGTGGAACTGGGTCGAAGGGCCCGGAACGGCTAACAGTATCGCAAATCGAAATGTACCACTTCTCGATGGATTAAGCCCTTAAGGGTAGCTCATGGAGTGGTCATGCTTATCGCTTCCTTTTTGCTGCTCTTGCCTTTCTACGGCTGTAAACTGAGGCGTTTAAGTTAAATCGCTGGCTGAAGAAGTTGATCGATAAAACAAAAACTCTTCAACAGCCTCTGAACTCGTTAGGAGTGCAATTAAGCCGGCGACATTGTTGGGATTGAAACTGGGTCAAAATCATGAGTAAACATCATTCGGATTACTTGACGTCATACCACTGATCTTTTTAGGTAACCTCTCGCTCTTCTTTATAGGTATGTAGATGACGAGATTACATCTTTTTTTGCGTACACATTTTTCTTCTTTTTTAAGATAAATTAAGATGCAGGTGACGCTAGCGACGACACTCTCGGCACCTGGAACAGTTCCGGAGTCCTACCCTATTCCGTTTGCTACAAATGGCGTTACAACGGCTGGGTCAACTTGAAATCATCTTGACTTGTTTTTGTTTGTTAACTGCTGTTTTTGGCCGCAGTTCGCCTTGCGAATGTTTCACAAGAATGCTGGGTTGTGAACAAAACTTTCGCTCCAGGCGGGACAAAACTTAAAACTTGAAATCAACTATCTTGAATCTTGAAATACTTGTGAAACTTGAAACCATCAGCACCAGCATTCTTGCCACCTTAAAACTACTGCATTGTTTATCCCTGTAGCCTGCGCATCTATATTTCAAAATCACTTAACCCATAACGTCGTTTTTGTCGCTACCAGGAAATCTTCAAAATCAAGCTGAATGTCGGTCAGGAGGCTCGGCCGCACGGCGATGCGGCGTGGCATGGCCATCGCGCACGGCAGTATGTCGAGTGTAGTACCGTTTCCAAACGGATGAGAATTACTTCAGCTTCTTGTGTTGGATAGAAAACTACCACCCGAAGAGCCGCTGGTCTCTTGTGTCTCTTTTAAATGTCTTTTGTCTCTTTCTCATGTCTCTTTTGTTTTTTTTTCTGTCACGGAAAGCGTATTTCGTCAGTTTACGGAGAAATGTTTGTTTTTTTTGTTTTTAGCTTACGGGAAAAATCCCAGTTTTGAATTTTTACAAAGAACTTCGGATTTCCGCCTATGAATTCGGCGATTCAAGCTGTAAACTACCTATGTCTGTGTGGGCTGGTTATTGTAGAGCTGTAGTTGGACTGAGTGCAACTCTTCGTCCGAGCCCTGTTAGCATGGGAAGCGCCCGTACAGCCAAAGGAAGCAACACCAGGAGAATGCACTACCCTCTGCAAATGCGACCCCTTGCCCTTTCTCCACTACGGCAAACTCCGAAAATCTCAGATACGAATCAATTCCTTAAATTACCTACGGACGGTTACATCGGCTAAGGCGCGTGGTGCGTCTCCTGCACGACAGTGAGGGTACAAAAAGAGCGCAAGGGTTCGGACAAACCGTCAGTCGCAAACTCCGCAAGCTTAGGATGTCTTCACATTGATTCGCTTAAAGCTACAATCATTGCATAGAAAAAATGCCTGGGCCCATATTCAGCATATTTCAATATCAGCCGTTCACTAACAGGAATATGATTGCCCAAGATGTGCAAGGATGAGTTGAATTTTTAAGAACACGCGATTATTTGTGGGGTTATAAAACAGAGCAATCGAGAACACTGTGACAAGTCGAGAACCGACCTTCATAGAGGTCATGTGTTCATTTATTAGAAAGCTTTCTCAACGATAGAATGCCGATATGTAGGATGGAACAAGGGTAGGAAGTAGGTCGAACGAAGGAGACCACGCACTCTGCAGCCCAATGTGTGCCAGCCTACTACTTCTCGTATCATTTCCGATCAGGCTCCCGCTCTCTCTGAACTAGGATTCGAACTTACTGGTTAGTACGAATTCTTTAAACTAACAAAGTAGGTAGATTGAGGCTATTAGTTCAGAGTTTGCGAGCAACTGATAGCGCTTACATACAGAAGAACTTTGGAAAAACCTGTTGTTTTGAGCTTGAACAATGTCGTAGTCGCGCTATTTAGAACAGTTTAGCTATTCGGATTTCACGCGGCTGCTTGCCCCTCTAGTTGTGGACTGCTTTTCCACATGATGGAGAACCTGATTTGGTCCCACCAGCCCCCGAGGAGGGGCGGTACGGACAACTGTGAGAGCCTCGCAAAGCGCTCAAGCTTATCTGCCGCACTGTAAGCCGTATATGCGGTCGGGCGTAATCGATTCACAACTCTAGAAATAGTCCTGAAGATCCTGGATACGTCAATGGAATCATCAGGACCCTGACCCTAATGAAATATTTCTATTCAGCTCTTCTTTCGAAATGATGCTGTTTTTAGCGAAAGCCTTCGGAATGTTTTTATGTGGATTTTTTTCTTATTTTTTGAGCGGTTTCCTTCTGTATCTAACTGGAGCATCTTTGACAATTCGTTTCACCACTTCTTCGATTTCTTACGCTTTCGAATCCTGTCTTCAGAGAAATTTTCAGAAATTTTGAAATTGTCCCACATTTTTCTGATGGTCATCGTTGATTGCGCTTTTCCAGGCATGTGGCCTCTTTTGATATTCTTTCTGTTCTTGCACTCCACGAATGGACAGTTTGCTGAGATCGCTTCTATAGCCACATCTTTACTAGGGTCAGGTCTCGGTCCAGCGCTCGGAGGTCAGTGATGAAAGTGGTCTTCCCGCGTTCCCTCATTCATCCGATTCCGACGGGTGAAAGTTGCAAACAATAGCGGCGACAGTGTTGCCGTTTGAAATCCGTCTCGCTTCGCATAGAATGAGGGAACGGCCTCATTGCTTATTCCTCCTCATTCCGCTACATCTGAATACCGTTTACCTGATGATGAACGTTTCAGCCGCCAGCGCAGGTTCGGCTGCAGCACCTGGAGCGCTTGGCGCTTTGTCGCAAATCGGACAGTGTTAGTTATCTAATTGCTTCAGTTGATGAAATATTGGAAAATTCATTCATATATCTTAAAATATTGGTCAGAGCAAGCGACAGTTCACGGCTGAAGAACGAATAAACTTTTTATTCGAGTAACGCGCTTGCATTCACGCGCGATGGACAGGCGACCAAGACGACAACGACAAGCTAGCCCAGCCAGCCACTGAATTGTCGTCGTTTCTTGTCTATTGCCCGTTTCACGCGGGTGGAATCCAGTTAAAATCCAGCTGAAATAAACGATCAAAAAAGATTAGGCGCACTACTAACGCGTCGTAAACGCTAGTGAATAGCAACTATACCGAATTATTGAATAGAATCCTTGGCTCAAGAGGACGTTGCGGGTTATATTGACGATGGAGCTTCGTGATGAATTTTGCGCTGAATTTTTTTCGATTTTGGCGGAGAACCATTGTAGATGTTTTATAAGGAAGCTCCACCCGGATGCGACGCTTTGAGGGTTTTTTTCAAAGCTTCTGCATCCCTTAAAACCCATTCCTGCGCTGACCTTCAACTTATAGAGTCCATTCTTGGGCAATTGGAAGAAACGGTCCTCCACACTTTTCGGGCCTATCCACATGGATGCAGTAGGGTAAGGAGTAATTCAAAGCCCTTTTTGTGGAGTAGTACGGATTCGTAAACTATAGACATTTCAAACCTAAGGCAGGGATGTCCCATGCCAGTTGCAGTACTGTTTGGTATAAAGGGCTTTGATCATGAATATAATTCGCCGTATCAAGAGAACAGAACCAAAACCCACACATTAATTCGAGTTCGAATTCCGGCGCTTTGGACGGGGGATGTAACGGGGGATGAGTGTTTCCTCGAGAACGCAATTTCGGAGGTTATGTACGGTGCTAGGGTTTAGTTACTTCACCTCTAGTTTGTCGGTATCGATATTCACACTTATCGGTGGGAAGCTTCGGGATACTTTCTGGTAAGGCGCTGAAAACGAGCTAGAAAAAGGGTTAGCGTATGATGGCTGCTTTACCGCCCCTAATCTCAATGTAGTTAAAGCCTACGACGACACGGGTCAGGTTCAAGTGAAGTCGTTGATAATATGGCGGACTCTGAGCCGATCAACCTTGCGCTATCCTGCAGAATGTTCCAGTCCACAGTTTTCGGCTTCTGCTAGGCCGTAAGGTATGCTTTCCCAAACAGGAGAGGGACCCCATTCTGGTAAAGTATTTTCTTTCCAAAATCTCTCAGGGAATGGTCTTGCCATCGGTACTCACTGCATGTCAATCGGGGAGATATCCCCGAGAGCCCGTGGGCGTGGAATTTTCCCGAGAGCTTTCGGGGGGAACATACCTTACCAGGATGGGATCCCTCTACTTCTCGTGGAAGCGTACCTTACGGCCCTTGGTTTCAACCGATTATCTCCCTACTCAATAACTCATTGCCAATCTTACAATTTTGGTTCACGTTTTAAGTTTTTTAAAGATTTGGTGCTGTGGCAAGAAGTGTCCCAACCCCTTTACATGGTCTCAGGATCAAATCCTCGGTTAAAGCTACGTCTTTGGTAACGATGTCTTTGGATTGGTTATAGCTGCTTAGTGGCAGTGATCAATATGGCTGGAGAGCGGTGCGAGTTTTGAAGACGTCATTCAACGTCATTAGAGGAACGGGGCCAAGATGGCCCCAGCCACACCCCCAGCCCTTCGGGGGAGCTGGTCCACCACTGAAGTCATCAGAACTTCATCAACCTTCAGCCACCGTGATCACTGCCTTTAAAATGAAGGTTATTGTATAAGATAAAAAAGACTAGCACCTAGCCGGAGTTTATGGGTCGAATGGAATCAGTGAAGCTGACTAGTCCACTCCACATTTCCAGCCGTAAATGGGAGCTTTTGCGACAAAAACAAGTTGATTATAAAATAAGGTTGAAAAACTTCACAATTATGGACGATGCCTGAAAGCTTTTAGTGTACCAACTCGCTCAAGGCGCTCTACAACTGACCGGCACTGGTGTTGGCGTTCTTAACCAAGCATCGGAGGGTAACTGGTTTCCAGCTGCACTCGAAACGGCTTCCAAGAACACCAGTGAGTCAATACGTCACAGATTTCTATCGTATAATCGTGATCATCGCTTTTCGCCTAACGGCGAGAACAAGTGTCTTCCATGCTTCCTGACTTGTTTTCTTTTTTATGCGCATGGCGTATTTCTTTTCATTTTTCTTTTTCCGATCTCCTATTCTCTACCAGCAATCCTCGGGCGTAATGTCCATCTGACGGAAGCATATAGCGATATGACATTGTATTCACAAAAGACATAAGAAGAGATGACATTTCGAAGAGTTGAAAAAATCTCGGAAATTTCATAGGAATTTACAAAAAAATTGCATTACCGCTGTTCGAACCGTTATACATCCGAGGAATTTCTGCCTTTGACGGGCGGAGTTGGATCCAAATGCAATGGCACAATTTTAAGTGGTTAGGGGGAGGGCAAAAAGGACTTATCGCTCATGGCGTACGTCGGTATATGGGCAAACTTTTCGTTGCCCAGACCCCGTCACCCTCAATAGAATAGTCCCTTCATGAAGAGAAGCATACAATGCGCTCAACCTTTCCAGGTCATAAAATCATCCATCATCGCTGTCGAGCTGAGGGTAGCTTGTCGTATTTGTTCCAGTCAAGAGCTGTTCCTAAATTTTTCGGCCAGTTCACTGCTGGACAGCCCTACAGGCAATAACACTGACTAATCAAGGCCCCTTCCGACCCCTACATCGACATCTTATCAATAACATCAATGATCAGGGGTGGAGCCACATCTTAAAATGGTCAACGCCACGGTTAACCCTCCCATAAAGCCTCCTCCATCGCAAGCCGACTGTAAGTCCGGAGGCATACTTTCAGACTTTACATGGTTTGAAGAAGACGTAGTTGTTCGAATAAGCTATTGCTCGGTACTCTGCAGCAACTGTTAATAGCTAAACTAAACTACACTTCGTTTCCGCATCTAGATACATGACGGTCACTTAGTTCACTTCTGTTTCCCTTTGGTCCTCATCGATGAGGAACGGAACGAACAGAGAACGTTGTTCATTTGCCGTTGAGATGGAGTGCTAGAACTTGAGAAGGGTCTCTCTGTATTGCATGAATCCAGTATTTTCGTAAGAAAGCCCCTAGGGAAGTTCACGTCTACAGAACAGTTCATGACCGACTCTCCATTAATCTCGGCATAGTTATAGAATATGTATTCAGCTTTGTTGTTTTGAGCTCTAAGACTGTACAGAATTTATTGGCCAAGTTTCGGTGAATTGCCTTCTTCGAAGCCTGTAAAGGAAGTCGAACATACATATGTGTGACTTAATTAATTTGGCTCCGAGGTATTTACCTTAATCATCCGAATACATTTCAATTACAGGAAGAAAACCCCAAGGGTTAGAAAATCAAAAGCTTCCATATGTGTATGAGAGCTCTTCAAGACTCCCTTCGGCAACTTCTAAGAGTAAATGTTTAAAAAGCCTACTTATTGGAAATTTAAATGTCTAAAGAGCCTACTTATTTGAAATTCATCTACAAGACAATCTAATCAAATGTCTTAAATTGCATGGCTTCAACATCTTCGAATCTGTTATAGTGAGACTACCCTCTGTACTGTTAGTGATGGATTCGGGCAACTGGAGCGGAGAACGCACCCAAATCCGGCGCTCGCGGCGATCATATTTCAGCTGATTGTTCTAATGATATACAGTTCGATAAATTCGGCGTTGACCTGATTCGTCTTGCAGTACTTAAATGGCAGTTTGAGAGCGATCAAGCACAAATAGCTTTAGTCGAACTTCGGGGTCCATTATATACACTGGTGTGCAAAACTTAGGGACGAACGTAGCTTTTCCAACGACGTGTTACTGGCGCGTAACATGACTCTATGGAACCTAACCACACATACAAAGAGCTGCCACAGGGCACTAAAGAAAGCAGTTAACAGGAACCGTTAAACGGTCCACAAAGCTATCAAAAGGTTATGATACTTCATCTGTCTCGTCCTTAAGTTTTGCACACCAGTGTAATATTTCTCTTCTAGTTCAGCAATGAACTATTTTGCCAGTGATCTTAACGGTTCATCATTTCGCACGTGCTGCCATACGCCATACGAGATGTGCAGGGAAAATATCAAATTAAGGCTAAGTTGAAAGAACTGTGAAGGAAAAAGGTCAAGTATTTCGAACGTAACCTCTGTCAGTGGTGCAGTGAACGGAACGCCCGTCTGAAAAGCGCGAATTCGGGATCGAGTCCCTGCCGGAATCACTCGTTTTGGCCGTAATTCCTCCTCCGACAATTAGTGTAGTACTGGTTTACACAACTGTGAGAGATGAAATCTAGTAAAACGGTCAACTTTCACAGATCACGTACTGGCTTGTACGGAAAGTTTGCTCCGATTCTGACCCTCAAATTCAAAAGCGCCTATCTCGGTTCAAACAAAACATTTTCAATCGAAATAAAAACTATTACAATTCCTATATCTTTGCCTAAAAGAGAGGGTTCAACAGATTCCGATGTTGAAAGTGCTGGAGTTCTGTAGGGGAAGAAGTTGCGAAGGTCGTTTCACCATCATGTTGGGTTTCAACGTTTGATCTTTGAAAAGACTATCCAGATGGCTGGAAAAGTGGCAGTTGGTAGGCAAGAGGTCTACTGTGCAAGATGTTCGCAGCACAGTTTTGTAGCTCAGCTAGTTCAACTTGTGCACGGCTGGAAGTGCGAGATGGGGCTGCGCAACTGTGGGGGGAAAAGAGTCGGCGGCACCCACTTGTCGACTTCTTTGGACATTCTTTGGACACCTGTATATTTGGGAACCCCACCTGAGTTACGCCTAAATAAGAAGCGGCCCGTTCAGCAATCAAATGCGCTTTAGGTTCGATCAAAATCCTCAGTTAATCTTTGCCAGTCTCCGATGTGCGGCATTCTCACTAACTTCGAAGTTTTCATCATCGCGAGAAAGGCATTTTGATCCTCTACTGCACAGTGTATTTTTTGGAGAATGTGTTGGCAGCTCTTCGATGTCTTCTCGTAAATGTCCATTGGCTTCTGAACAACTGAAGAAGTGGGCTAGAAAACTGAACGGGTGATCGTCCATTGGCGCGAAGTCAGGGCTATGGGGCGGAAAAGAAAAAGCCGGCCGCCTGGTTGTCTACAAATCCTCCTCATTTTCCTTTGCAATGTGGGTCGAGTGGTATCAAAAAAGAGGTAGGCCTGCCTTTTTTTTCCTTTCAAACTGGATTGTGTCGCAGTCATGCGGTTGTTTGGAAGGACTCCTTCACGCTCCTCTCCTCTCGTATCCTTGCATAACTCAGGAGGACGTTCTTGGATGTGCATGGACATGGACTGATAGGACCATTGACGCTGAAGCCAAGTCATTGAGCTATTGCCGCTAGTTAGACTTTTCAACATACTGGTTCTACCCTTCATCACCGGTGATTACGATGGATAATCATTTGAAGGAGACGGGAAAGAATACGCTGGCGTAGGCTCGTGAGGAGAACTGATTTATGCTAAGTACATGTGAGACCCTAAACTCACATCTTGAACCCCTCTCATGAAGCCGTCTCAGCGCTCTCATTTGGCCCCATTGTAAGGGACCTACCAAACAGTAGCCGTCCATGTACCTTGCCAAAAACGCTTCGTAGAGATTCGATTATGAGACGCTCGAAACAGCATAAAGGAATCTTTCGCGGAAAATTCTTGCATTCTTTCTCAACATGAATGTCAGTTGTGATCACTGGAAACAGCACACAAAGTTTCACGCATGAAGATTCGGTTTCCGAAGAGAAACAAACGTACAAAAACTACACTCTATGGACAATCGAAGGTAATTCGGGCGGAGCCAAAGGCGAGGCATGGAAAGAAGTTGGCCTTTGGCCGGCTACGTATCAGGCGACGCAATGAAAGAATCGGGTTAAAGCGCGCGATTTCGGAGAGTAGAGACAAATCGATCGATAGAATAGGATGGAGTAGAAGTGTGAGATGTGAATGCAATAAGCAAAAGGCCAGAGTTTCTAGTGAAGGCACTCCAAGAACCAAGTGGAAGCATCCCCGTCGCCAGCATTTCGTGACAGTAAGCAACAGTTCAGGAACGGTTTCGCGGGAAAAAACCACCAATAATGAAGTTGTAGATGAAAACCAGACGATTAATGTATGAAAAACTGGAAAAAAACGTCGGGGAGGGTCTTAGACAGGTACTCTCCCTCTGCCGCTCAGCAATGGATAAAGACGCACGTTGGACGAGTTGTCTGAACGTGCCCGCTGTAAACGCGCTCCATTTTCAATCAATTTTCCCTGTGGTCCCAAAACGAGCACGATTGCCGACGCGTCCAATGACGGCCGGCAAGGGGGCGGGATTGGGGAAATCCCCAAAGAACACCCATGTTCGAGACCTTTCCACCCTGTTTTTGAGTTTCTGAGGTAAGTTCGTTTATTATTTCCACTGCATATGTTCTTCACTAGGGCTCGTGTATCCCTCAGTAGTAGTGGCATTGAAATTTTCGGACCCTCCCTGAAACTGTTGCTTTAAAGTGCAACACGTCGGATTATTTGACCGAACCAACCCTTTCGGTCATC